TTACTATAGATCTACTAAATTGTCATTCAGATAGTATCCTCAGATGGTAAATGTAATGATTTCTACATAAATAGTACTAACTTGAAAGCCTCATAGGTTTTTTTTTAGAGTCTTAAAATATTGCTGTGCTGATTTTTTAGTATTTAATTACAACATCACTGTTTAGATCATAGGTCCCTTAAAAGGTTAAGGCCAATCCTACAAAGTATTTTTTTACTCCAAATTAAAATTAATTACTTTCGTGTTTCACTAGAAAGAGAAAAAAAAATGAGATCGAAAAGTTAGGTATTATTTGTGGGTAGAAAAGGGGGTCACTTTTGTAAATATTGAGATTAGGCTACTGGAAATGTCAAGGAAGTTTGCCGTATTAAGGAAATGTAAAATCTTACAAACTCAGTCAATCAAAAATGACTGCACAAATATGACTCCCCAGAAAGGCATTTATCATAATTAATAAGATAAACCAATAGTCACCTACTTAAATGACAGCTGCAAATCAAAATGGGACTTGCCAAGTCTCTCATGGGGTCAGCTATGACCACCCATGACAACTTGACTCTTTCACCTCCTTTACAAGTGGAAGGACCAACAGACGGCCACAGCTGCTCCAGCCAACCATAGCATCCCCAATGCTCGCTGCCAGGACTGGCTGCCATCCGCTGCCCAACACCATCAGGCAGTAAGTAGGTCTATAAACCTACTAAAACAGCGCAAATGTTATAACTTGTAATCTATTAAAATCAAAATAAACAGGAAAGGAAGTCTGAGAGCCAGATTCTTCAGAGCAAAATGTAATGCTGATTATGAGGTTTTCAAATATTCCAGCTTTTTTTTGGGGGTGGGCAAGACTTAGGGTTGAGCCATTAAAAAACCAGTTGGTAGTATTAAAACTTTTGCTTTAGGATTTATAAGAAAGCCAAAAATTCACTCCAGGCTGAAATTTACTATCCCAGGCCTGGAACCATTAAAAAAAAAAAAAAAAAAAAAAAAAAAGCCACCAAAAAAAATTTGTAAATATGGAAGAAAAACCAAACAAACATGAAACAGTGGTTTCAGATAATTTTTGGCACTCGGTCAACATGAAAGTGGCTTTATTTTTTAGTATTTTTTTAAAGTCTGAGATTCATTACTATGAATTACTTTTGTTACTAAAACACAGTTTTAGTAAAAACCCTGGGATGAGTTTATTTTAGTAACGAATTACCAGTAAGTTACTATCACCGAATCTTTTTTAAAGCTTTTCAGTATGAAGAGATATCATGGTTTTCAAAGCAATGTCAATGATCTGACTTATGCTCAAAAGCCAGGAAGTTTGGGGTAGAAATTTCATCTGTGAGCCACACAGATGTATGAAAACATTTAAAAAATTAACAGCGTATGTTAAAGATGCAATGTCAGCCCCATTTGTACCCATAACTAGACTTCATTAGTTTTGTGGGTTTAAAATTGACATTTAAAAATAAAGGCAACAAGATTTTGTGACTTAATTGAGCGCTCCTTAAATAAAGAGATATTTCAATGTTTGCAGACTGTTAACGTCTTTCCAAAATAAGCCATGTGCTGGTGCTACTCAGCTATATTTCCCTATCACCCTAAGGAGTCTGTATTGCTGATGGAAGCCATTTCTTCTGCTAAATCCCGCCTGTGAACTCTTTAACAAGAGCATTTAAGCCTACTAAACAAAGTCTCCTGGGAGACACTATTGTTAAAACAAAAACTGGAACAAATTTTTAAAGTGAACTTTCTGCAATCATTGGAGGATGCAGGTCTTAAGAAGAGAAAACTTGTTACAGGAGAGGGAACAAAAAGCCAAATGTAAGCAGAGAGCACATGGCAGTCACCCCTGAGGGAACAGAGGGGAGGTATAGAAAATTAACTGCTGCATTTCTACTTCCCACCAAAACCACAAACGGGCTGTTTCAGGGGACTAACACATACAGAGCCTGCAGATAAATACATGTCTACCTCATTACCTGAGAAGAGCCTTAAAGAGCACACTTCTTTGCTGAATATTTCTGCTTCTACATGAATAATCTCATTTACGTAGAAGAAGGTGCTATACATAGGCATGCAACATTTGCAGCATGTATGTGTGTCAGCTTGGAAGCTGCTCAGCTCTGTCTGCGAATTTGGCCTGTAGTCTTTTGGCACGGATTTTTACTGCAAAACTTTACAAACATTCTCTGCAGCCAAACCACCTTGAACTGTTTCTTATCAAATTTCACAAGCTAAGTGGGTTTCAGCCCGGTCAATACATGGATGAGAGATCATTATATGAAATTATGCTTTGCTGAAATCTCACAACAGTAGCTTAACAGCATCAGGAAACGGCAGGACTTAGCTGTAAGGACATGCACAAAGGTGACTGGGACTGAGGCAGCTGCTGGCTTCACCCAAGATAAGATTACCGCACCTCGGAAAGCCAAGACCTCAGGGGAGGACAGTACGTGGAAAATGGGAACCAAAAGATTATGGAGGTTCCTGCTTTCTGCCTCAAACAGGAATGGCAGTCATATAGGACAGTCTCTGCTGAGGGGATGTGTGTGTTTGTATGCCATCTCACCAGCCTGTAAGGCAGGCTTTCTCCCTGGCATCTAAAGGGGCACCATCTTGGAACTACACCTTGGGCAGTAACAGTAATGCCAGGCACACTGCTGCAGTTAGGCACCCTAACAAAGTATTGGACAACTAAGATGGAAGGTAACAACAGAGAAACTGCCCTTTTGAGTTTTTCATTAACAGACTGGGTCAAAGCAATCCCACTTTATTTTTGACAAAGTACAGGTCTAAAGGAGGATGAGGACAACGATTATATTTGGATTGTAACAAAATACTTAGCATCAACCCAGATGATGCCCTTTCAGGCAACCTAAGGAAAAACAGCCCCTTTGCTTTCTTAAATTACCACAACATACGTGTTTACCTGTATTCAAAGATGAGTTAACAAGAGTTTGCTCGGAGTACAAATCAAACAGGATCGCACAGAAGGAATACAGCGATATTCTTCATTCTCACTGGATGAGGTGGAGGGTATGCCTGTAGGGCTTGAAACCTGTAGGGCTTGAAAGTTGTGTAGGCACTGCGAGGCTGAAATGCAGGATGATTTACATACTCTAAGTTGTTTCCCTGAAACAGATCTGTCTAACTATCCTTGGTTTTATCACCTTGCTAGTCAATTGCCATATATACTTGCACTTGAGGGAAAAAGATTTGCATCAGCCAATAACAGACATGTGAACTGCCTATCTAAAATTAGCTGCTCTTCCTGGGCTCCCTCTGCAGGCACTGCACTGACAGAAAGAGAACCTCGGCCACGGCGTGACTGAGCACCTCATCTAAGTTAGAACCATCACGGAGAACAAAATCCTAGGCCAAGCAAACACTGGGAAAAATTCTGTAGTTATCAGAAAAATCTCAATGCTTATTTTAGGTCCATAAAAACTTTCCACAGGACAAAATGGAAATTCAGGGCTGAGGCTGCTGAAATCCAACTGAGTTGATAGTTAATTAAAAAAAAAAAAATCTTCAAGAAAGTATATATGTTTTTTGCTACCAGGCTATTACAAACCATAACCTTGGAGGAGGGCTCCAATGAGGAACTTGGAACAGAGGGTGCAGAAAGTGGAAGCTGGTACTATTTATAGCCTGGCAGACAGGACTCCCAGAAACTCAGTTAGCCAAAACAAGCTGATTCTCCTAGCTACAGGTAAAACAACATTCTGAGTAAGTTAAACAGTTTGAAAAATATATAAATATTAAAATTAGAAGTATTTCAGTAAACAGATGCTGGCTTTTTTTCTTTAGTATTTGATGGAACATGTTTCAAAGAGTACATCGCTAACTAATGTTCCTGATGGATGTGTGAAGTTATACTACCTGACCACATCATGAATTAGCCTTCCCAGGAGGAGCTGTACAAAAAGTAGAATAAAAGAAAGCAGAAATTCCTTGACATCTATAGGATGTCAAGGAAATGACTCAGTTTGTTTCAAACAGGAGATAATTAAGAAAATCTTCTAAAGTTTTCTGAATTACATTAGGACTTTATCATTTAGTTGTTCTCAACATGCTTCCCTTTCTCATATCCAGGAACATACTGAACAACCAATTCATTTCAGGACTTTCAGACAGAATGTAACAAGGACCGCTACAACTTTTCCATTTAATCATTAATACTAAAATATTAAATAGCTTATATAAAACACATGGTTTAACAGTTTATCAAGGCAGGGACACTCATGTGAGTTCCTATTAAGAAGAGTATGTTGAGCCTATTTATTACGGAACAGGATAGATGCATTATATGCATTTAGCTTTTTAAAAGGAAATACTGGTATTTAATCTGAAGCGTATCAGAATTCTCTGACAAGACCTCTACCTAATGTAAACCAGACTGATTTGGGCCAAGAGATCTGGTTCAGCACAGCAAGCAATTTTCAGTTTCTGTAATCAGTGCATTCCCAGGAATTTTATACCTGGGAAAACCACTGAAATACTTGCTTTTCAAGAAAACAAAGATCACTTTTTTTGAACAGTTTCTTCATGAAAATCATGTCTACAGGACAGCTGCTGAACATTGCTCCCTGTTCACTCACTTACCTATGAATTCAACCCCCCCTCAAAAAAATAAAAAAAAGGAAGGGGGAAGTTCAGACCACTTTTACTTGTATCTTAAAACTGGCACTGTACCATGTGCAGAGCTCTCCTGCTGGTACATCACATACTGGTCAGTATTTCTGGTAAGGTTAGTTTCTTTGTGTAATAATTTCAGCTACAATTTTTAAAGTTAGCATCCTCCTCTGCTTCAGCAAAAGTTTGGAAACAAATGCCCAAACATATTTTAGAGCTTGCAAACCTAATGCAAATGAAAGAGTCCAAAGCTTTTCTGTTTTATTTTTAGGGGTTCTTCTTCCCAATGCCTCAGTATGTCTGTTGTTCTCCAAATGCCACGTAGCAAAATTGCTAGTTTATTTGGGATAAACCAAACAGCAGGTGCTTACCTGTAGGAGTACTACTGCGAAACGAAGAGGAGGGAGTGATTGGAGGGGTGACTGGAGGAGTAAGGCTTCCACTGCTGTGGCGAGGTGGAGTAGATACATTCCCACGGGACACTGTGCTTGACAAAGTCAAAGAGAGTTTCGGCTGAATCTTTTTCTTCAAAGACTCCTGCTCACGTCGAGCTGCATCAGTCATAAATCTAGAACAAGGACAATTTTGAGTATAAGAGGCTTGAAACACCGCCCACAAGCAAGCTTTAGGTAAAGCACGTATTTTTCGTCCTCAGTGGCCAAATGGAACTTGAACCTCAGCCATGACAAGTTCCTCTGCAACACACAGATTTAAAGAATACATACTTCTCCATCAACAGCTTTATTCCAGTGTTCAAGATCTGGGCCACTTGCTTCTGATTTCAATAGAACTCACATTAGATGCCTGCCTCATGGGCAAACACACAAGTTTTTTTAAACTCCAACCAGATATCACATTGCACACAATATCATAATAATCCTTTACAATAACTACACTCAATCCTGTGAAAAAGCAGCTGAATAGCTATAACGGAGAAAAATGTTAGGGGCAGATGTATTAAATCTGAAGAGACAGTATGAATTACATTGTGTAGATACATAATTTCCAACTTAGGATAATCACATCTTTTTTCTAAGGGTTTTAGACAATGTTGCCTGACACAGAAGATGTCCACTTAAAATTGCAATTCCTCAAACCAGAGTTCCCAACTCTTGAAAACCAAATGAGGGATCTCTGTAGAGCTTTGGCATATGATGCTGAAAGCCGAATGCAACTCAAGGTTCATCTCTGTGGGATGCTGAGAGGGAATTCCACCAGCACAATGCAAGGTGTGCACCAGTAGTGCAGTAATTCCAGCAGTGCAACTTTTTGCATGGAATCTCTCACCTGGAATAAAAATAGCTTTTTTCACTTTTATTCTGATTCCTTCCAAAAAAGAACAACCAAAGTGAAAAAGATGACTTTTATTCCAAGTGCCTACACAGAGTCACACCAGAACACCTGATACTGCATTATGCTGACATTCAAAGCATCACTGCTGGCACCTGTGTTAACCCTCACTTGAAAGGACTGGGGTTTGTGTCACCCCACCCCCCGCAACAGGATCTCTGCAACTCAGACTTCATGCACTTAGCATTCAAGTGATATTTTAATCCTTTGTCTTTCCGCTCCACTGCATAAGGAGCCATCTTGAAGGATTCCTAAGAAGACAGGCTGAAGTAAATCACCTTGTCCATATAGTCCTCTGTCCTTCACGCTAAAGTACAAACTATGCCTGTCAGTGAATAAGAAAATATACCCTAGCACATGATACAGAATAAAAAGTTAAGTTACCCCCAGACATTTGTATGACCAGGTCAGACAGAGTAAACCAGATTTTAGCCAAGACACAAGCTTTGCAGGATGAGCTCTTGCAAACTTGGCAAACCATGAAGGGCGCATTCAGAGAGGAGAGAACATGGTGCAGCCACTACGCTGCACTTGCCTCGGAGCCAGCTGTCACCCAGAAACTCACATTTTCAATCCAGGAAGGAAACAGAATGGGAGAAGAACAAGGGCAGAGGAGCAGGAGGTGCGGCATGGTGAGGAGCAGGTACACCCCTGGAGGCACTGCAGCCTGTGGGTAACCACATCGGATCACGGGAAAAACGTGACAAACAAGGGGTGGCAGAGAGAAACCGCTACAACCTGACCCCAACCCCTGCACCACTCGCTGCCTCACCGAGGGGACTAAGCATGTGGCCTTGCAACGGCAGCAGGGGAGCAGAGGTGTCTAGAGCAAAGCGAGTCTGCGAGTGAAGGTGAGCCTGGGAAAGGGGAAGGAAAGGTGGGATTTTTTCCCCTAAGTGTTTTAGGGATTTTCTTTTGTTTCTCAGTAACCAATACCCGAATCAGTAATTGAGTATTTACACTAGTTGGCAATATATTAAATTCCCCAGGTCAAGTCTTTTTTCCCTGTGACAGTACTCGGCAAGTGATTCCCTTATTTCAGCCCATGAGTTTTCTTGCTCCCACTCCTGTTTTCTCCCCCATCCCACTGGCATCAGCAGTGGGGGAGTGAGTGAGCCAGTGGCTGATAGCTGGGGCCAACCATCACTCTACCACATTTCTTGTCATGTGACAACTATATCTGCTATGTGACCAAACTGCCTGTCATGCAACTTATCGATGTTCCTTATCATATGGAAGCAACCCCTGAGGTACATCCAGAATCCAATGGAGGACTGGGAGATCCACCTTTAGCTCCCGAGGCAGAGCAGCAGACCCTGAGGAGAGGCAGGCAAGTGGAATACTGCCACACCAGCCACCTCCTTCACAGTTTATATCCTTCCATCGTATGAAGGATCAGGCCATAGGCTGGCTGGACAAACTGATTCTGCAGACCATAGTACAACAGCTGCACTGAACATGGCCATCAGGTCACACTGGGCCTCACAGCACTACATAGTATCTACCACAGCATCTGCAACATGGTGCTGTAGGACAGTCCAGTTTCTTCTCTGGGCCTCAAGAAACAGTTTCAAATTAATATGAATCACTGTATTCATTTAGGCTCCATAGAAACCCGATGTTTTGTGACTGCTTGCAACACATGGGCTGTCTGGGTGGAAGCTGGGTAGATCCTACCGGTTGTGAGTTCAGACCTGACTGCGCTTATAGAGAGACCTCTGAGAAAAAACAGCTCTTGTTGAACAGTAAGGGGTGCATAGGGAAGTCGAAGAGGGAAAGTAAAAGTGGATTTTTTTGGCATCTGTGCCAAATATAAAAGAAAAATTTGGCCTAGATATCAAAACCCCAGCTCTTTCTCAAAAGAGATTTATGTACTTTAACACAGCCTCAAAACACTGTGGCATACAATTTTAAGCACCATTAGAGCAATGAAGATGTATCCTGGTTATCTATACAATGAAGGCATTAATAAGTAGAGATCTTTGCCATGATATGTAACATCAACACACAATCCGCAGACATTAATAAACAGGTATGTGACATGATGCTTATATTCTTTGAACAGGGCAATACATCATGTCAAACCAGATACAGCATTTTTATGAAGTTAATATTTAAAAAGCAGATATCCACAGTTAACAGTTCAGTTTTAAATTTCTCTCCCAAACAAGAGTGCAGATACTATTGACAAACAGTCCCCAAATAGAAATCTAAACTTCATTCAAGAAAAAAGGAAGTAAAAGGATCTTAATAACAGGCATTCAGTTCACATTTGCTTTCCTCTAACTACGAAACGTCTAATTCACTGTTTTGGGAATTTGTACTATGATGTATGCTTGCTTCTGGATGGGAAGCCTTATTCCTTAAGAAAACGTTATGGCAACATTATAAATCCTTGAAAACTTGGAAGATAACCTCAAGTATGAGATATTAAAAGCAGCAGCACAAACACTGCTAAACTCAGCCACAAATAACAATGTTAAAATAATATTGAGGTATAACCAGTCTGGTTGAAGTCCATAAAAATCAGGAAAATTTGAAGTTATAGCTGAAACTTCTCCCTGTCCTCTTAACTGACTCCCATTTGGGCTAAGCATATTGGGTATATTCCAAAATGCCATTTGTTGTCTACACTGTGAACCTGAGAGAAATGGAAGGCAGAGTCTGTTGAGAAGTTCAGTTCCTGGTATCTCAAGTATGGAATTAACCTCTTCAGATCCAAATAGTCTCATACATGTCTGCTAAAGCACTGGCAGTGTTAATAGTTTTGAAAAGGAAACTTATCTAAATGGATTAAAATAAAACATTTAATTGAAATGTATTTTAATTGAAATGCAGTATAATACTTCTGCCTAACTATGGTGGTGTTCTTCAAAGCTTACAATATAAGTGTTTTAATGATGGGTATAGAATGACATTTCCAACTAAGGCTTTAATTTTCATGTTGAAAGTACATTATGGTTGCAACATCAAGTGCTCAGAAATGAAAGATGCTAGAATTAAGGTTGAATAGTGGTCTCTAAATTACACGACTGCATACAATTTTCCTTGCCTCATTTCAATGCACAAGATGTGTGGGAAACAGAAAACAAACTGTAGTAAACAAATGCTGCTCTAAGACCACTTAGGTTAAATCCCATCTCCTTGCTTAATATTCTCTCTCACTGTCCTCAGATCCATCTCCTTGCTGAGCAATCTACCTCTGCTATGTTCTTATTCATAACTCCATAACCCTTTCCCTCCACTATGCAGATTTTAGTCATCTTCCCTGTTGCACAGGATTGTGTTTACACCTCATAAGCCTTCTCTCCAAATGCAATATATCACATAGGCACAGTGAAACAAGGAAAATCATTCAGTTCCCAGCCATTCATTGACCCTGTTTTAACAAGCATGGCGTTTGTGTGCTTTCTTGCAGATGGTTCATAACGTCAGGGAGGAGCCCACTCCTTAGAAAGAAATCTCTTCTACCCCCATTTTTTCTTTCCTTGCCCTTTCACCTTCCTAGTAATTCAACTCCCTGCTCCAAAACACGTAGGTGCAATGATTTCTGAATCAAGTGCTTGCAGCAACTTTAATAAACATAAGCAAAATATAGTATTTCCCCCTCCTCTCATTCCCTGGAATGGTTCAAGTATTTTTATTGAAACTTTCCCAAGAAATTCAGCCTGAAGGAGACACCCAGCATGGAAACTTTCAGCCCGAACAGCTGAATGCTGGCAACATAATAAGCAACTGAAACAGTCTTATAATGGAAAGTGTTGCACAACCTTCCATATAGGTGGCAATATAATACAAACAGCATTAGCTGTTGTTACCAACATAAAAAGTCACAAAAAAGCAGAGGCGATGGTCAAACGAAAAATACCCTTTTCAAATCAAACTTTTGCAACGTTTATAAGTCCCGCTGCCCCCAAAAGCTTTAGAATTAAGAAGGAACAGAAGCAGAACACACTCTCCCAGAAATTTCCTTCAGCTATTAGCATGTACTGACTATTTCAGGAACATGCCCCAGTATGACTCACATGATGATGTCAGTTAGTTTATCATAAAACTCTCACTACACACAATTCTAACACAATTTAAGAGCTTGGGACTCACACCCAGACCGAGGGTAAGGGTAGTTATAAAAGTGAGTTGCAAATAAACTGAAAATTTTTACGTGGGATCTCACTTGAAAGGCAAAAAAAACCCCCCGAGTTGTCCTTCAGAATGTA